TTGGCAGTCTGATAAAGGATGAGCCATCCTGCTGGAACCTCTCATCTAGCAAGCTAGCATCGATATGGACAAGTTTCCATCTAGCAGGAGACAGTAGCATTTTCATGAGGGAGACCAACAAAACAGGAATATGCAGCAACCACGTTGTCTCCCTCCAGTACTAATGCTTGTTTCCTGTCCTCAGTCCCAGCTTTTGGAAGCTTATAGCTTGTGAAACATACGCTTTTCATCATTTTCTGAACAATTAAACGAAAATGCTTTGGGACTGCTCACTATAGATGTTCCAGCAAGGTGGCGGTGTTTTGTGTTTTTTGGGGGTGGGTAGTTTGGGAGGGGAATATTAAAGATCTGAGGACCAAGCCAATAGTATCATTTATGTTCCAGTCAAATGTATGAGTTAGAGAGGAATAAACATTCTGCTGAAACATGGGCACAGTCTCTTAACCACAGCCAAACATTTTTTCTTCTAAAACATTTTCTTTTATATAAGATGATATGTGGACATATGTCAGTGACATTACAGGCTTAAATCAAAATGAAAGGATAAGATAGCCTGAAGGAGCTACACTAGTTTAGTAACTGGTGAGGGTCAAAGAGGTTACAGACGTGCTGCTGGCTTTCCATGCGTATGGCTCGTGCTTGCCAGAGGAAGACAACTCCTGGCAAACCACTCACTTTTAATGAACTTCATTTAAGAAAACAACTGTTCTCCAGAAACGTGCCCAAAAAATGGGTTGTCTGTTCACATTATTATTTTAGTGTTCACAGAAGTCACATGAATTCATGGCTTCATAGAAAGAATTTTATTTTTTTGTAAAGACAGTGACAGTGCTCTGCACATGTGGGCCAGATCCTGAGTTCCTGCATGCCTAAGTATTCTGCTGGTGAGCACAGGCCTCATTTTCATCTTTACTTATCGCAGCATTTTCAGGATAAAAGGAATGCCATTTTGGATTCTTACCTATTTTCCTTCTATTTTTCCCCTCATTATTACAACATCACAACCTTCAGCATAATAACTCTTTTCAGCACTAGAGGCAGGGAGTTTAAAGACATGTATTATTCTCCTTTCACAGGAAAAAAAGATGAAGCATAGGAAAACAAAGACTGGCCCAAGGCTAACCAGATTCAGTGGAGGTATGTTAATGAAAAGTGTCCCATGAGAGGTCAGATTTAAGCACCAGATTTTGTTTGCATGTTTTAAAAAACACAGATGCAAGACCTAGTTACAGATCCATAAACTATATTTACAATAAAACAATAAAAGGGAATTTCACACATTCCTTACAACAGAAGCATGCGTTTTGTAAGAAGACTGACTCAGCAATGAATTGGTTTGTCTTCACTAAAACTGAAGAATCAAAACGCACCTGTTTTGCCTGTCCTGTATCTTACCAGTGGCAGTGAAAGAAAGACGAAAGCAAATGGTAGTCAAATTCCAATATATCAGACTCCTTATCTAAAAAGCTACAGAATATCATTTCAAGCTCACCAGTCATATCTGTAGGGGGTTCAGGTGTCAGGGTTTTGGTGGGGAACTGCAGGGGTGGCATCCATGCAGAGAGGCCCCATGCTGGACACGGCTGGCTCCAGCGGCCCCACAGCGGGGATAGCCATGCGCCCAGGAGGCAAGATGGCGGCAGCTGTGAGAGAAAGTGCTTAAAAAGGACAAAAACACCAAGTGGCAGTGAGGAAAACGTGTGAGGAACAGCCTTGTGAGCACCAGGGCCAGAGAAGAGAGAGCAGGACAGAGATTGCCCTGCAGCTGGTGGAGAGGACCATGCAGGAGTGCTCCATTCTGTTCAGTGTACAATGTGACCAAGAAAAAAAGGGTTGGAAGTCCAAGCCACCATTAACAACCAATTAAAAAAAAAAAAAAATTCTTTTTGATGGATATATGTAAAGGATGGCAGGATGGCATTAGTAATTATTCAGTCTGACGGCATTCAAGCCACATGACTCAATTCTTTTATCGTAAATCCTTGACTATTTCACCAGCCTTCTGCCCCTCAATTTTTCCTATATTCACACTAATAAGAGAGCCACATTTGTGCTATTTTAAACACATGGGATTTCCTCACAGCAGTAGAATTCAGTATTTACAAAAGGAAATGCTACATTGTTAAAAAATAATGACCTTTGTGTTCTACAACATGGGGAAGTGCTCCAGCATTTTAAATGAATAACATTATACAAGATACCAAGGACCGAGGTTACTGACGGTTATCCATTATTTTACAGAAAAGTTGTGAGGAGGAAGTGAACTTCTGACTGCGATTTTACAGTCACTGGTTAATATGCTAGACAAGCAATAGCAATTTTAAAAAAAAAAAAATCAAGGAGATAAAGGATTATTTGAAAATGTCACCACTTTCCTAAGCTAATGGGAGAGCTAAATACACACAGAAAACAATTGGGAAATATCACATTTGCCTTGCACATGAGAGGCAAACATGGAAATAAGACATTTGCAATAGATAAGCTATTAAAAGCATTTAAATGAAAGTGAAACACTCAGAAACAGCAGAGTATGATGTTTTTGTCCTCTGACTCATCAGATCCTTTCTTCCTGCCACACCTCCATATTCTACAGACTTCTTCCATCTCTCCACCTGACCCAAAAATATCAAGCATTTCAAAGGGCCTGAAACTAAATCTCCCTGAACTTGAATTTGTTGGCCTAATGTTTATGAAAGATCTTACTTCTTGAGAGAACAACATCTAATGATATATTGCATCCTTCTAATCAATCTAAAATGCAGTCACTTATCAGTAAGCTCTTTCTTGGACTCAGTCATCACCTATTTGCCACTAGGAGATAGGATGCTTCTTAAGATTTATCCACACTGCAGTCATCGCCTTACAAACATACCTGAAACAGCTATTCAGCTGGGGCTCTGCTAGCTGTGTGGCTGTGCTAGTACAAAACACAGCACAGGGTCAGACTTAGCTATCTGCAGTGGCAAAAGCCCCCAAGCTACTCCTTTTTCCAAGGCAAGCTCCTTTTTCCAATGCACATCTGCATGAACGAGTCACAGTAGGGACTGCAAATGCAGACCTGCTCCAAGAATTCATACCTGCAAAGAATTCTCTTCAGAGAAAACAGGCAATTAATTCCCTAAATCAAAATGGATCCCTGAGGATGTGTGCAAAGGTCAAGAAGTTTCCTTTAGTTTTATGCTATCCACAGCCTGATAACATCAAGAAGTTCTCAACAGCATCCATAATTTCAGAAGGGGTTTGCGTGTCACAGAAATTAAGAGTTTGTAAAAACCTTTCCCAAAATATGATCATTAGCAAGCCAGTAAGATTACTGCAGACTTCAGAGGAGTAACGTTGTAGAAACCAACTGCTCTACTCCCCCAGTGCAGACACTCCCACTAGTAATTCTCTGAAAAAAGGACAGATTGGAGATGGCAGAAACATTAACCCTTACCAGTGGACACCCATTCTCTCTTACGCTGGGCATTTCTGATAATTCTGCTGAGGGGATCAAGGACTAGAGAGATTTTACTGACTTAACCAGAAAAAAAAAAAAAATGAAAAAGAAAAAAAAGCCAATGGATTTAAATAGTTTATTTGGAAAGCATAATCACACCTAAGCCACACCTCAGCAACCAAAAAAAAAAGTCTGGTTTCTCCTCCTACCCCCCATACTAAATACAATACTGTCCAGTGCAATAAATACCAACACTCTGTGTAGTGATTCTCTGTGTTGCTAGAGCCAGAAACTTGATACAGTCACCACCATATAAAAACACTTCAAGTATTTTGTACATTCAAAACGCATATAATAAAACTGGAAAAGATCGTCTCAATGTAGTACAGTACACAAATAACTGCAGAGAAACAATTGTGTGTTTTTCTGCCTCCTGGGTAGTTAACACTGCTTTTAATTTCATCTCTGTCATTTCATATTATCATCTGGAAAAGCTCATGGCCAAGAGTTTGCCCTGGTAATAGCTGACTGTTCTCTTTGATATCATCACTCCTTGCTCTTTATGGACAGGCCAATATTCATTGTGATTAGCAAGGGACAACCCTGTCTATCCAGATTAGTCATGAATACTTAGCAGTTCACTCCATGCATCATCACTAATTGCTGTAAAAGTCTGGAGTTTTGGGTATGTTAAAAAAAAAAAAAAAAAAAAAAAAAAAAAAACCAAACAGAAAATACCATAATTTTCTCTCCCCAGGGAAGACAACAATGCAACTATGCTTTGCATGGATTCATCACATTTGGTGAGAATTTGTTTCAATCACTAATTCTAGCAAGTTCTACTTTATTGGTCAGGTTTTTTACTTTTTGCCTGAAATTTAGTGTCCCACAAACCTGTACTAAAATATTACATTCTAAAAACAGATTCAAAATTGTCAGGTATTGTCAGGTAACTCAGTTGTTCCACTACTTAAGCTACAGAACCACACCTCTATAAAAGACAATAAACCTAAGCAAAGTTTAGTGGCAAGCCCTTCTACCAAGTGGATGAGTGTGTTTGATAACACGCATGCCTAGTCCTAGGAAGATATAAAGGCACTATTTCTACTCCCAGTTTCATGTCCCAGAAAAAAGGGAGTCATGATGGGCAGGGTGTTAGCGAGAGCGAGGGAAGAGGAACACGCTTAAATGATATACTTGATTTTAGCTTCCCCCATATTTGCATGATATTTTTCCAGAAATTTTATCTTTCCTTAAATGTTACGTTCATCAAATTATCAGTTATTTTTCTTGTCTTCAGAGACATTTTCAAAATAAGCGTATATTTTTAACATTTCATTTTGCTTTGGATTTAACCAAATTGTTATTGAAATGAATCTATGGTAATTCTCATGGATTTGTTTCAGATGGTGAATGATGCACTTTACAGAAAATGTGGCCATACAAGTATAGCTAAGTATAGTAATACCAAGCTGATATGAACCATAGATTTTAAAATTCTTTCATAAATGTAACACTTTACATTATTCATTAAAATTAAAACATGTAATCAGATACATACCATTTTGCCCTAGGACAGATCTTTTTTTTCAGAGAATGTTTTTTCCAGACTTTTTCCTGCAACAAAAGAAAATTTGTATAAGACTAGATTTATAAAATATTATCTGCCGGAAAAGTACTTCTGTTGATGGATACAACCTCCTCTACCAAGAACTACTTTTCTCCTATAAAGTAGCACTGGAAATCACATTGTTCCATTCATAATTCCTTCATTTCCACAAGGTATAGCAGGTAAACAAACATAAATGCTACTGTGGAACCGTTACAGATTTTACAGACACTAGGTTTGATGCAGGCAAGAAGGTGAAGTGGAAAGTTTTGTACTAGTTTCACCCACATGCCTTTTCTGGTTCATTTGCCATACCTGACAAATACCTGAAGTCTACTAGTTCATGCCAGAAGCTCCAGTTCAGGCTGAAACTCTCATCTGCCATTCATTTTTGGCTAAAATTCAACTCTGATCTTAGAGCTAATATAGCTAATCCTACAGTCATCAGTGGCTATCTCTATATCAGTAAACGGTACAGTCCAGAAAAAGCAAATATCAAGAGCAAGTTAGCATGTACTGAAGAAGAAAAAAGTTTATTTTATTTTGAGTCTAACTCTAATCTGGTCCCATGAAGTGAGTGTCTGTTAGCCATTAGGGCACACTAGATGCTCTCCTGAGTGCATCCTCCAGTTTAGGATTATCCAAAAGGACAGTTTTGACACCCTGCAACATAGCACAAACCAAAGCACAGGCAGTGGAGACAACTAAGGGATTCCCTTCACAAATGTGTTCCTTATCCACATTAAAGCACTTAAATAGACATGCTCATGATGACCTAAAAAGAAACATTATATTTATTTGAAAAAAATGTAGATTTATGCACAAAGTAATTAAAGTATGGATTTCTTTTTTTTTTTTGCATTGGATATGAACATCAACTAATATAATGGTAAGGAGCTAGTAAGTCACCTTCTATCAAGACTTAATTTAGCTTGGCTTTTTGTTGAACATCTGGCAGATACAGCTGAAGAGAAACACTTCTGAAAATGTCCTCAGTCAATCAATACACGTGATCATCTACAGAGAACATCTAAGAAGGATTTGTCTGTCCTATTTCGAGTGTTGACCTGGAGCTGTCACTATTTAACATTCACTATAACCCCACTTTGATTAATATTGTTAGACTCTAAACAGAAGATATAAGCCACATAAGTGGAATATTTAAGATCGCTCTGCAGCTCTTCTGCAAACCTGGTAATGAAATCAATCTGCTAATTAACTAGTATTATTCATTTCCCTACAGCCCATTAGTGTGCTGTCACTCTAGCACCTATATATCATATTAGGTTTGTCAGATTGTTTGTTACTTTGTTCCACATTTTTTCAGAAGACCCATTGTGGACATTAATACCATACTTCAAATCCTCCATGGCAGCATGCATGGGTATGTTATTGATATACTCATTGCCTATGGTAATAATTTATAAAAAGGCTAGAAAAACTTATTGGAAATTCAACGTACTGAGATCCTTGCAAGTCCTTCTATATTATGATCACATTCTTCTGTATATTGATTCAGAAATCTTTATAGTGGATCTGATGCTAAAATACCAGCTATTCTATACAACTATTCCAAATTACATATTTCAAAGAATATATATGAAGTTTATATCCATGCACAAATACTATTAATGTTAACAGGACATAGGAGTCCAAATATACAAACCAGTTTGAGAAATCATGGCATTAGACTTATTAAGTGAAGAATGCTATTTTTCTAATGATCATCAATGCAAATAACCCCTTAAAAACATGTTTCCTAAAAGATCTTTTAGCTTTCTAATCTCTAGCATTCCTAAATGGCCCAACATGAATTTAATACATGAGATTTAAAATAGATTTTGACTTTCAGTCTAAAACATCTTCTAGTCATCTAGGAACTTTAAAGATATGCACCTTCAGGTTCAATTTTTTCTATTGACCATAGCGTAGTTCTATTTTAAGGCATTTTAATTGTGAACATTCTGATCATCAGCTTGATAATACTGTAAATTCAGGACTAAGGATGTCTGAAAACAAAATTCAGTAAATAAAGGCCCTGAATGTCACTTCTGCATTAACCCATTGTTAACAAATCTGACTGTACGTCTTGCATGCAAGAAAGGTGAAATAATGTGAGACGTGTACACTCCTACGTTTTTTTAATCACCCCCCACCAGGGTCTAGAAAAGTAACAGGTGCAATCCTTATCTGATTGTTGAACAAGCAGTCTATGGCAGTGCTTAGATCCATTAAAGAACAAATACATTCAAAAGCTCAGCCAAAGGTGTCACTTTAAGAGTTCACATGATGCTTACTCTTATTATTCCTCCCTTTATGGATGGAGGAAACTCAGTAAGAATAAGTGGATATCCAGGACTAATATTATTTCAGTTCATCTCTGCTCTATCTGCAAAAATTAAGCTATACCTTAATTGCTGCTTATGTAGACAATCAAATGCCCAGCACACCTGTGCTGAGACTGTTTATGTCTCTAAAGCACATTTACTCATACGCTATCACTCCAAATACAAGTCAGCTTGTAAAAAGTTCATTTCCTCTGTGGTCAGTTCACTAGCCGAGGTGCAACTTTGGTGGTGTTGGAACTACAGGGGCAGCAGCAGAGCCACGATGACCTCTTGGCTGGGAACAGGTAAGGGAATGTTAAGCATGACAAACTCTTTCCCTTCTTCCCTCTCCATGCCTTTTCCTTTCTGTATCCAAGCAGAGAAGGTCATTTCCTTGCTGTTGCCCGCACATACGTTTATTGCATTCAAGACTTCCGAACGGGGAATACAACTCTGTCTCACAAGCTGACTCCCATGCTGGGAGGCACTGCTTTTTCTGACAGCTCTGGAATCTAAAGGCGACGGGTTTTTTTTTCCTCATGTAATAAGACTGGCAAAGTGCCACCTGGCATCCAGAGGTCTGGTCTGGGATTTAGGTTCCAATTCTTGCACAGTGGGAGAGTTCCAGTAAGTCTGGTACGTTAGAAAGAGTCAAACAAACCCTTGTAAGTCAATAAATTGCCTGGTCAGAGGCTGAAGTGGGAAAGAACGCATCTTATGCAGCTCCTGTTATTGCTCCTGTCTGTTCTGTAATTCCTGATTATGGGGCTTCTAGTCAAGTTCCCCAGGCAGACCTGAAGATGGGGGTTTGGCCTTCACACTTAACAAAACTTCCTAGTAAATCAAGAAATATTAAAACATCTCTGATGCACTCCTGCCAGGTATTTGGAGCATACATCCCACTTGGATACAATGGTATAAATGAAGTTCCAGCCTTCCTCCATAACCATTATTACCTATACCACAATGTTTCTGTTTCAGTACATGCAAAAATTGTCAGTTCTTATTTCTACAGTTTACTAAAGTGTCCTAGAAGTTAATATAAATTTGTAGATCTATTTTATTTCCACAGATATCAAGAGACTTTAGATTGCATTAAAATAAATAAAAAACAGTCTCAATTGTCTCCAGTTTCTCTTAGAGTCATTTCACAACGTATCTTTAGTGCCAAGGACATGTTATCTGCTCGGTTATAAAATCCCAAAGGAGACATGATTCTCTAGCTTTTCACTAGGAAAACTAGACAAGGTCACATATGGAAGGAATGAGAGGTGGAAAGAGTGAAATATATGGCTATGACAGACTAGATAACTAGTAGAAGAAACTACCAACTCTTAGCTATGCTCTGATTTTGCAGTGTTGTCATATGTTACTTATCTTGCTGTAAAAGATAAAATATAAATCTGCTTAATCATGAAGACAGTCTAACATCCACTGGAAATAAGGCACTGTATAGTAATTTCCACTACTCGCAATGGTGTAAAATACCTTCCTCCGGGTTAGGCTTACATAATGCACAGCAAATTCACATTCACTTAGAAGTGAATGGGTGACTTGAACCAAGGCTGATTTCAGTGAATTCATTTCTGAGACAAATAACCCAATGGAGTATAATGAGTCTGTGAAGCTGCCTGGAGTAAAACATATGAGTAAGTGATTGCATGATTGAGGCCTGAGACATTAAGAAACATACTGCTGCTACCCGGTAATAGTGCCATTAATGCAGCCATTTATTGGTTTATTTTTACTTAGAGCAGGAGAAAATGCATTGCCCTTCTGAGACCACAAGAAATCAATACATTTTCAGCTTTTAATAACATGATCTAAAACACTTGCTATAGTCTGCAGTGAAATCTGTTGTGGGTGTATGATGCCATTCATTCTTCTCCACAATATTATTTGCATTTTAACAGACACAAGCGAAGACTTTACTGAAGCAATAATTAAACTTATGCTACACTGCCTAAAATGAAAATTATGTGCATTTTAAAAAGCCTAAAAAGTTATTTTAGCATCTTTATTTTCATAATAGAGACAAATAGTCACCAAAATGTATGTGTAGTACAATCACTAACTCACAACAGCACCAAATATAGTATTAACAAGGTGTCATTGACTACACTTACACTGTAAAAAATGTAAAAAACATCACATATGTAAACCCATGCTGAATCAAATGCCATTTATATTTATTGGAGCATTTTACACCCCACTTTGAGGAGATTTGCTGTTACTTATTAACATTTTATATGAATATTAATAGGCTGCAAATACGAAATTGCATGACTTAGGAGCTTGATTATGATATTAAGCCATAAGTCTCCCAACCAAAGCATAACAAGTAATATCTCAGGAGACAGACAGTTTATCCTGGACCTTCAAAATGAAAGAGGCACCACTGACTCACTCAGGGGAATTGCTTCAGAAGCATCATGCCTCCATCAGCAGGAAAGGAAGCACTCCCTAAGGTCAGAAAAAATGGGATTCAGTAACTTCAGTGCACATCACTATTCCTGGCCAGCAATGCTAAAAGCTTTAAAAAAGTAATTTACATTTAATTTTATTCAAGAGTCTTGTTATTCATCATTATTCTCACAATAGCTGGGCTGGAACTCACAGAAACATCATGGATGAATCGTTAGGAGTTCATATGTAAAGCTGTCTTTTGGGGGTATTACATT